GTAATAAAGAAATGCTGGGGTATAAGAAGCCTCAGGCAGGCAGCGTGCCCCCATATCAGTTTCCAGGCTTTGTTTTCATAGAAGTGTGCCTCAGCACATAAAGTCTTTATGACCGCAGGACTGTAATGTACCTTCACGTCTGTTTTATTTGCAGTACTTTTGATTCCAAACAAGGCTGCAGGACTCACTAAAAAGGTCCTTCAAATTAATGAGCACATATAAAACCAAAAGCAATAAACACAAGTGCACGCCGAGAGGTTTCCTCTGGGCCAATTGCATAATTACCCCATAGCAAACCTCTGCATCAATATTATGCACGGCAACTGCAATGCCCAAGAGCACGAAGTGCAGCCTGCAACATGTACACCGGGACATAACCCATTCCGATCTGTGAAAGAATTCAAGTGAAGCTACATCAGGAGTTATACCTTAAAAATGCATTCAGGTACCTTAACTATTAACAAAATGTATCTTATATGTGTATCACTCGGCTGTAGATCCTCCAATCATCTCTGAATTGGTGCTGACACTGTCCTTCCTTCTGGAGGGGGGCTACTTCTGTTCCCCATGGTCCCTGTGTGTTGTAAAGTAGTCACCGCTCCAAGCTCGCTCCTGTGATGGACTACAATCTCAATACAAATTAATAAACTAAACATGAGATTGTAGTCCATCACAGGAGTGAGTTTAGGTACTTGAATGTATTTTTAAGATTTAACTCCTGAGTTTAGTGTCACTTTAACTTTCGGTCACATACATTCATATTCGGACAACTGAGGGTGGAAATAACATAACACTGTTATCCGGAAAACTACATTCAGCTCCATCTTGGAATCTCTCGGGCTCTTTAAAAAGAATTCTGAAATCTCACACATCCTCCGGATTTATCTTGAGCTGCGGAACTTGACAATGCGAGTTCTACCTAACCCTAAACCATCGCCCCCTCACCCACTCCATGTGGAGCACAGCAGACTGCTCCAACATGCTGCCCATTGACTCCACGATGGCTGCCATGGTAACACCACATCCCTGCCAACTTCTAAGACAGCTCAGAAGCCGGCACGCAGAATGCCAGGCACCATGACTTATTGAGGAAAGATGAACACTGCGCTGCTAAATGAGCACCGAGTGAAAACAAACTACAGCTCCCAAAGTGACAAAGTGGATGGCTTGAATACTTCTCCGGGGAGATCAATCATTCCGCCTACAATGCGCTCATCACACGGGAAAATCCAAAAGGCCATTACTGCCCATTACTAATGGGGAAGGGTTAGGACCTCGGTCAGGATTTCTTTTATTATTGCCGTGTCAATCATTTGAAAGATCCAATGGAGAAAGTGCATCAACATACTCATCACCATACTCGCCAAGAACTTTTATTGGTCACAATCAAGAATTGCAACGTTTCCGGACCACAGGAGGATCCCTACATTGGGCAGTAGTGACAATCAGGGTGTGTGTATGTGTGTGTGTATATATATATATATATATATATATAGCGATGGTATGATTGAAGCTTTGCTTTAAAAAACAAGTACTGCACAATGGCGTGCTTCCCAAATGCGCATCCTGCTCTGCTGGCTTGGGAAGTCCAAAGCTGGCAGGTCAAATGGGAATGAGAGAAAGAATAATGGGGGGAAAAAAAATGGAAGGAGAGTTATCATGTCATCTGTCAAAGTCACAAATCACATCCTCCCTGCTACATTAAGCACCATAAGCCCAGTGCCTGCATTTTATAAATGGGCTGCCAAATGCAAGCTAACACCCTCCGGCCACTGATTATCAGCATCTTTTGGAAGGTTTTGTCTTGTTACAAAACATAGAAGAGTAGATATTAGGACGTATATGTGATATTCTATACTATGCTGTAAACGTTCTCCACGGGAACACAAGAAAATTTAGATTTTATTATTAGAATTTATAAATGACTTGGTAAGCGGAACAGAGAGAAGATGGCACAATGGAGCATATTTACATAGTTGGATAGTTCGACCATGCGCTAGGACTTTAGCCGAGTGGTAGTCACATGGACAGAAACAGAAGACGCTCTGTTGTGAGACTGCACCAAAGACCAACGTGCTGTAGAGCGCTGTCTTTGGGCAGAGGGAGTGAAACCAGTGGAGTTTCACTTTGTGGTCATCGAGGAACAGAGATTCCCTAACCATGGCCCAGTTTGGGGGCTGAAACATGTAAGCGTCTGTTTGTTTGCTGCTTTTATGCCTTTTTGCAAATAAAAGTATTGGATGGACGGATTCCCTTGTGAGTGCCGATTTTTTTACCTATTCCCAAACCAACATCGCTAGAAAAATAGAGCAGTCTAAGTATAACTGAAACATTTTCTTTCCCTCATTTTGGATAAAACCATTTAAAATTCCGGTCAGGTTTTGTTTGTTGCCTTTTGTATCTCAGTGACGAGATATATGTTCACACCCTCTCCTATAGACACAACAGAAAGTAAGAAGAAAGTGAACCTCCTCATGTATCACTTGTCCCTCCCTTTTAGAGTGTAAGCCCTCAGGGGCAGAGCCCTCCTTACCATCCTGTCTTGAATTGTATTGTTATTATAATGTATAATGTATTGTAAAGTGCTGCGCAAACTGTTGGCGCTATATAAATCCTGTATAATAATAATAGTAAGTGAGACAAATCCCCTCTTGTTGTCACAGGTGTCCTGTCACTGGGGCATCTCCCTCTGTTTCCGCTCCGGTGAGAACAGAACATTTTAGAATTGTCATATCTCGGATTGCAAACATCTAAAACCCGCTTAGAGACAAACTGTAAACTCCGCGCACCTCCCATGCTTGCCAGGCAGCCTCTACTGTTGCGTGCATGTTCCATCTGATGTCACTCAAGGCTGTACGCTTTGGCAAGAAAAGCGGTTTGTCTTTATTTACATTCTACGCGCTTCAACATTAACTGGCCTATAAAACCTTCAGAGATTATTTCAGATTAAAGTTTATCTAGTGATAGCAAAAGAAAAAGAAAAAGAAAAACAAAAACAGAGCGTTTACAATTTAAACTCACAGCGAGAAGGGTTAGGGTTAGTTTCTGGCTATTCAATTCCGCTGAACTCTAGGGGGGGAAAAAATATATCGAATTTATTTTATTTTTAACCAGTTCTGAGATAAATAAATGTCTCAAGCAGCGTGCTTATATTCAAGAAAGAATCCTCACAGCCTTCTTTCTCATTGGTTCTTGATTTAATTTTTCTGATTGCATGAAAATGATCTGAGACAGAAAGAACTAAGAAGCATTGAGAAAGAAGGCTGTAAAGGAGACTTTAACAAATTCTGCTGTTTTGCTGATACTCGCTCCATGGCTCCGAGCGCCAACAATCATCCCACGTTCAAAGGCTGTTAAATCGCGTTGTTTCCCCGTATCTTCAGAAACAAATCACTTCTACTGTCGTGGTAAATAACCTGCTTCCCTATTTATAATGGTCTGGCCCTCTAGCAACTTCAGCACGAAATTATATCTAATCTGCGTGTGTGTGTGTACGTACACACACCAGTAACAATAACTCCTGCGTCTTCCGTCATGGCCAACCAACCAAGACAGATTTGCATAGGTCTGCAACAGATGTAGCACTGAAGATGAGACAGATTTTTCATTCCATGCAGCAGCACAATGAAGACGTTATCAGGAACAGGTTTTCTTGGGGCTGATTTGGAGCAGCAGAGGGAGCAATTTTTTAAAGCTCTTAGGCCATTCTGTTTAAAACAAGAGAGTGTGTTGCGTTAGTGAACCCCAGAGATGTGACCGGGATCTTATAGTAAATCTGTTCCTTAAAGGATGGCTTTATGCTGTGACAGAATTGATGAACCTCTCCAAGATGTCAGGTAGGAGGTGATACAAGATCTCTCCAATGGGGACACGGAAAACAACAATTCTGACAGAAATGTGACCTACCCTCCACCCTAATTAAAGCCTTCACCTATAGCCCACGGCAATTGTTAGTCGCAGAGCAGGCATGTCACTGGTGCCCGACTAGTCCAGAATAACAAGTTGGAAGAAGCTGTATCCAGTAAAGACCATTAATCTGAACGGCAGGGCAGGACCAAATCCCTTTAACAAAGCCAGATTGATTTTTTTTTTTTTTCCACAGGATTAAAAAAAAAAAAAAACAACAACAACAATTTTTGGTTTAAAAGAGAACTATGGGGTAACCTCCCCCCCCCCCCATAGTTCTCTTCAGGGTCATGGGAGGACATATGCTAAGCTCCTCCCGTGACCCAAAACTCAGCATATAGTGAGCTATTGCCTGCTTTATACTGAGATTGCCACAGCCAGGATGGATCCTGACAATACTGTTGAGATCCACCCAGGTGGCTGATTGACAGCGGGCTCCGCCTATCTAGTGGAAGAGCCAGCCCCCTACTCCATCCCTTCCTCCAGTCAGTGCTGGAGGATCGGAGAGGGGGGAATACCTATAGGACAGTCACCGCTCTCTGCAGGAAGATGATCGGGAAGTCAGCGATTGGCGCCACGTGTTCCCTGACTTCCCGATCGATAGAGCCGACATGTGACAAACGCAGTACTCTCCAGCGCTTTGTCTGAAACCATTTCTGGGTCCTTTTTGACGTGTGCTTTGGGTCATTGTACTGTTGCAAGACCCATGACCTCCGACGGAGACCCAACTTTCTGACACTGGGCCCTACATTGCACCCCAGAATTATCTGGTAGTCTTCAGATTTCATAATGCCATGCACACAGTCAAGACATCCAGTGCCTGAAGCAGCAAAACATCAGTGAACTTCCACCATGTGTGACTGTAGGGACTGGATTTTATTTCTTTAAAGGCCTCATTTCTTTTTCAGAAAACAGTAGAATGATGGACTGCACCAAAAAGCTGTTAATTCTTTGTCATACCAATACAAAATAAATAAAACATAAGAATGCCTAAATATTTGTAATTGCAACCTAGGGGTGCCAATATTTTTGGCCATGACTATATATGAAGAACTGATACACGGTTTCTTCATAAAACTATTTCAAATCTAAAATAGCTTCAATTTCATTTATTTCGAAAAGGACTTCCATGGACGTGTTCTATATATATGTATGATGCATCTTTTAATTAGTAAGAAAGAGCCGTAATTAATTTCATCTTAAGATTCCACACAGATAGAAATGATCGACAATTAAAAGGACGACAATCGAAGAGAAAAAAAAAAAGAAAAAAGAAAAGAAAAAGTCACGGAACCGAGAGGGTAAATTTGTAAACTCCTTCATCTGGAACGCTCCGCAGAGACAGAACGCAATTGTTCAAAGTTCAGAGCTTGCAACGTTACTGCAGCCTGCGATAGCTCTTACATAATTCATGGTCTCTAATGTCCCCCCACCCCCCGTTTTTCACCAGCGGGGACAGAGCGCCCATTGAGTATCGGTGGGCGATGGCTACGTTCTCAGGAAATAGGTACGGTTGGTTGCCTGTAAACATGGCTTCCATTTTGGCACTTTCTGTGGTTGCTTTGCAAGATTTCTTATGGTGCATCCCACAACTCCCAATGTGATATATCCTGGGAATTTCGGGAACCATGACTTTCCAGAACTTAGGAAGACAAGTGACGGTCAGGTGCTGCAAGGTCCAGTCCCAGTTATAGTCGTCGTAAGAACAAAAAGTGTCTGTGCACTCGATGAGCTTCAGATATGTCTCCCTGGTTATGGCCATTCCCATGTTGTGTTCCGTAGACTTCCACGTTTTCACCTCCACTTTGTCCGCTTTTTCGGCGAATGACTGGAGACGGGCATAGCTCCCGATGGTCAACACGTCGCACTCTGGGCATTCTTCAGTTTTTTTGCTCCACATCTTTTTAAGCACGTAATAGAAGTCGGGAGACAAGTAGTGGTCTTCCTCGATGAAAAGGACTAGGCCCTTGTGCTCTTTTAAAACCTTTACCTTCTCCCAAACAAAATGCAGCTTCCACCACCAGTGGTGCTTCGTTTGCGAGAATTTAGCCTCGCGGTAATGCCCGAAGGAGTCTGGGTACTCCGCGTTGATGCAACCGAGCTTAATGGCATCTTTTTTTTCTATGTCTCTGGGGCAGTCTTTTGGGTCGTGCCCGGGAAATTCATTGGGGTATAACTGGATGCTAAATGGGAAAAAGATCTGGAGCACTTGACAGAAATCCACGCTGGCGACAATCTGATTCAACTCGGCCGACCAGTAATCGTGGCTGAAAATCAACAGCACGTTCTCGATGCCCTTGGCTTTTCGTAAAGACTCCAAGAGATATCTTAAATAGTCCGGTCGATTGTGCACTTGCACTACGATGACCACGTCATCCTGTGGCCGATTGGTAATTGTTTCCAAGTTCTTAATAGTTTGGTCAAAATTCAGCTGAAAAACGACAGATCTGTACACCATAGTCACGTTGTCCACCTCCGCTTTCTGTATTTTCTCGGGGGCAGAGTCATTAGAAATTTTCCTACTCCCTGGGGACACATGACCCTTCCCGTTTGGTTTCTCCACGTCCGAGTCTTGAACAAAGTCATTTTTTTTTTGTCTGCCACTGTTCCACAGTGCCAGGCCGCAGGCTACCACCACTAAAGCCAGAAGGATGACTTTCTTTTTATATATGCGGCACCTCATGTTATAGATGGTCCACAGCAATCAGAGGGAGGGAAGCTGAAATGGCACACAGGACCTGCCTGTGAAATCCAAATCAAAGCCCAGATGGCAGCATTAAATGCACAAATGTCTTTGGCTAACTCATCTTCCCATCTGACGAGGACAGGAGCGGCAGTTCCAAGTGGGCGATTGCATGCATCTTGTTTCCCTCCCAGCCTCGTGCACATTGACTGAGGCAGATCACGGACGGGAAACAGACTCCATGTAACATCTGTTGGTAAAGGACACGCTTCTGCTCAGTGAGCTCACCACAGCTCCCCTGCAAAAAAAAAAAAAAAAGATAAAGAAATGTTATCCTGAGAGAAAGCAAAAGCACCGGAAATGCCTAACTTGCCACGCTTGCTGCAAACTGCTCACCTGCTTGAAGTCTAAGTATATATCTCCAGCAGCACTCATGCAAGTGCCACGACAACACCTATGCAGTCCAAGTTACAAGGCAGACTACGCTTTAAACAGCCATGACAGCAAACACACAGACAAGCGTGGCCACACAATACAGAAAATTATTCTGCACGGGCCAGTATATGTTATCCACAGTACAAGCAAAACATTAGGACAGGGGTAGCCAAACTCCGGCCCTCCAGCTGTGGTGGAACTACAAAACCCATGAGGCATTGCAAGATTCTCACAGCCACAGACATGACTCCCAGAGAGAGATGCATCATGGGATTGGTAGTTTCACCACAGCTGGAGGGATGGAGTTTGGCTACCCCTGCATTAGGATGTAGCAGACTACTTTAATCACTATGGATCATAGGGATGTGGAACACTAGAGCGCTGCTTAGTCCCAAGTGCATTATATTGTTAACATCCAGCCCCAAAAACATTTGCACTCTGTATATATGTATGATGTCACCAGAAGACATATTCCAAGTACGTATGACCCCATGCTGGCAATGATTAGCACATTATGATGATTGGAGCAACATTCACCATATTTATTCCCAGATAATTTTTTTGTACAAGTCATTCTGAATTGAGAAAGCTGGTCAGATGACCAACAAAAAGTCTTCAAGAAAAATGCAGCAAGTCCAGTTGCCTTGATTTATTTTTTTACAGATCTTCCAAGTACAGTTATTCTATATTACACAACGCACGGTCAACGGAGGACCCGATGGCAATTAGAGTGATTCAAGAGGCACAGAGGGGAATTGTTCAAAACTGGAGCAAACAGAATCTGGAGCAGTTGCTTGTGGCAACCAATCAGCTTCTCTCTTCAGTTGAACTTTAAAATGAAAGAAAGACGCTGACTGGTTGCCATGGGCAACTGCTCCAGTTTTGATAAATTCCCCCCAAAGAGCACTTCACAGGGGCTGTACAACACAGAGCATGCAATGGTATCGCTGCACATAAGTTAATCATTTAACACCAAGTGCTGCTAATTAATGATATACTGCTCCAAGCAAATCCAATCCACAGTGCAGAACTGAGTAAGCTGGGAGCACCGGGGATCAGAGGGGACACGGACCCAATGAAACACCAGCTCCCAGCGCAGAAGATCCTCACCAACTAATCGATAATGAGATTCTCGTTATGGATTACACTTTTTTACTTGATTCAGCCCTAATCCTATTTGTGTATCACTCGGTTGTAGATCCTCAAATCATCTCTGAATTGGTGCCGACACTGTCCTTCCTTCTGGAGGGGGGCTACTTTTGTTCCCCATGGTCCCTGTGTGTGCTGTACAGTACCGCCCCAAGCTCGCTCTCGGGATGGACTACAATCTCATGTTTACTTTAATCATTTGTATTGAGATTGTAGTCCATCACAGTAGTGAGCTTGGAGCGCTAACTACTTTACAACACACACAGGGACCATGGGGAACAGAAGTAGCCCCCCTACAGAAGGAAGGAGTGTCAGCACCAATTCAGAGATGATTTGAGGATCTACAGCCAAGTGATACACAAATCACATGCATTTCTGTTAATAGTTAAAAGGTACATGAATGCAATTTTAAGATTTAACTCCTGAGTTTAGTGTTACTTTAAGGCAAACTACTGTAAACACGGGGTGCAGATCTCCGAGCACTGCAAGTATAGAAATCCCAGCACATGAAAGTGATCCTATACTCACAGGGCGATTCACAAAAGGGTGAAGAGTTTGGAGAAGTGAAAAATCTAGGACAAAATAGCAAAACTGGAAAGTGAGCGGAATTGGAGAATGTTTCCAGTTCAGCTATGTTGTCCTAGATTGATCACTTCTCCAAACTCTTCACCCTTTTTGTGAAAAGCCCTGTAAGTCTGGCTGGGATGAATACATACATAGGTGGGGATCAGAGGCTAGACTAGACGATCCTCTCCTCCAGGACAAATCATGTGACCAGATGTAGCTCCACTGGAGGGAGAAGTACACTGAACTCAGCCGAGCCAAAAAACAAGATCGGGCATACTAGACCTTGCGCTGCAAATCTGAGTCAGGATATATTCTGCCAAGCACAGACAACAACAAGACATGACAGATAATGCCAGATGCAGCCTGGACACCTCTCACTCAGCTCTGCAGAACTTGAATTTATGAGACAGACCGCAGGAAACCCAAACATGACGGCAGTGCTACCAACACACAGAAAATGCTAGCTGTCTGGCTTTCACGCCAGCCTAATGGCTACAATACTTCGAGTCCCTGACCTATAGCATGCAGATCAGTAGCTCTGACTTCACCAACAACATACACTGTATTGCCAAAAGTATTGGGACACCTGCCTACACACAAACTTTAATGGCATCCCAGTCTTAGTCCGTAGGGATCAATATTGAGTTGGTCCGCCATTTGCCGCTATAACAGCTTCAACTCTTCTAGGAAGGCGTCCACAAGGTTTATGCAGTTCCAGGAGGAGGTGAGCAATGGCCTCTTTCACTTTTTCAGTGCGCAGCACTACAGTGCCGTGGTGTGAATTTGCTTTGTCTTTGCATTGGGACTATGCTAGAAAATGTCGCTGAGTGCAGCCCCAACACATCTGGAGTGAACAAGCCCTTGCAGACGACCTCCAGACAAGTCTGATACTTTGGTGGTGTATATGCTGAACTTTGTACCGAATTCACTACAATAAACCAATTGGATCGGTTACGTGCGGCTGATCTTTAGGAAATATTGAGCAGATGTTGTAGTCTGGCTGTGAAAGTAGAAATACACTTCAAGTCTGCCAACAGCTCGGCAGGTCCTGCTAGAATCCTCATCAGCCATGACGGCTCCGAGGTCACTGTGACACGCAGCGGCCGATCACAATACGGGAATGAACAATGCTGGATGTCTTTGTTTCCTCCTCGGCAGTTTTTTGGTTTATAGATCGCATACATCATGCAATCATCACGTCATCTGTACTGAATGTGCACAGGGTACAAGTTTAAACTGCTCCATGTTCTTTCTTCATCCCCCACCCCCCTCCGGTGATTCTGTTCTGCGAGGAAGTCTGCAGGTAACAGCTTCAACAAATGCGTCCTAATTATTTTTAAACAGCGCCATAAATAGGTCTGGAAGGTCCACAGTGGGATCCGCAGTTGCAGGAGTGCGAATCTGTGCACATCACGCAACGCTTGCAGAGACAACTGCCCCCCCCCAATCCCGGGTACACAATGTGCAGCAAACACCACTTCCTCTTTTATGCAAAAGGAAATGCCGTCCAGGCAGAGCACGTGACAGGGGTGCAACCTGAAATGTGCACACACGATTGACATGGAGGTCTCCGCCCAGAGATGGGGGGACACGTGTGGACATACCAATCCAAATGTCCTGTTTGGGGACACGCCGCATGGTGAAATCTACAACCCAATGGCCAACGTATCAGGGAATGTGTGAATATGCGCAGGTCGCATACTTAGAAGTTTGCTTATCCTTCAGTGACTCCACCTCACCATAGACCTCTGGGAGAGCTAAAGAGACCCTGTCATCTTCAACTTTAGCAGAGCATTGAAAGGAAGAGGTCCTCTACAACCTTGGTTCTCAACTGGTGGGCCGTGACCCAAAAGTGGGATGCGACACCGTGTTCAGTGGGTCACCGCATGCCTTTCACTTTTCTAGGTGAGAACTCCTCTACCTCAAAATATGCTCCCCGGCGCCAAGTGTCAGCTTGAGGTGGGGTGGGATGGGGGTCACGAGGGAGCTCCAGCCATACATGAATTGCTTACAGCTCCCTCACATGTCCCGTAGAGGTGCCTGGACCGGAGTGATATCACATTATCGCTCCCGGCACCTCTACAGGGCATGCATGGGAGCCCGTGGAACGTGCGTCTAAACAAACTTCCCCCTGTGAACAAAAAAAGTGAACCGTGAAATCACAGCACACAAAAAACGTGCACAAGGGTGCAAGGTCCTTCCTAAGAAGGGACCCATTTCCCGACCCCCCGGGGCGCAAGGCTCCTGACAGGGGTTGAGATACTATGGTCCACCAACCCGAAGGCCGGTGGACCTTTCCTTTGGGGACCTGCCGAAACAGGTCCCTCACAGTACTTGGCAGGTGGGCTCTCCCGAAGAGAGACCCACCTCCTGGGTGGGAGGAGACAGAGAACCCCGTAAGAGGCACAGAATCTCCTCCCAGCGTCAGGAATAGGCCCCGAAGAAACCTGCACCATCAGCATCTGTGGGTCAATGCCAAAAAAAGGCCAATCGTGTCGTGCATAGAGTGCTTAAATAATAAAGTGCCAGTGCACCACGCTGACAGGCCTTAGGGGCCGAGTGCAAAAAAATTGCCCCGGACTAGCCATAAGGCCTGTCCAAGAGGCGTTGTGCAGAAAAAATGCAATGTGGTGTGTGACCAAGTGCATCAGTGAGTCAGTGAGGGTAGGACCCTAACCCCTGTGACTTCCTGAGCACCCCTGGGACGCCACCCCCAGGGGGCACAACACCACGGGCTTCTGCCGCCCCCAGCCCTCCAGCCTCGATCAAGTTTCGGATCTGCCCATTATCAGGAGTCTAGAGCACCTTACAGAGGCTCGACACCAAGCGCACCCATTAACGAAGAGTCGTTAACCCGGGGTCCGCAGCCTCCTCCAGTACTCAGACAATTACACAGGCAATTGGCTACCTGTGCATCTTTGACTGATAAGAACAGATACTACACTTGATCTTAGCCAAAAGGCCGAGAAGCGATGGGCATGCATGGGAGCTGTACAAGCAACGCACATATGGATGGAGCTCCATCACAGCACAGCAGCCCACACTGCACCCCAGGCTGAGGATCCACTCCAGTTCTCGTAAGATAGGGAGACTGGGTGGAGCGTAAAAAGAAAGAAAAATGTAATGTATTTTTTTGGAGTGTATATGTGTGAGAATGTCTGAGTGTGCGAGGTTTTGTCTGTGGTTATGTATGCGTGTCAGTGTTTTTGAGGGTCCCTTCACACTAGTACAGTGCGTTAATCGCACAGCCCCATGTAATCAATGCACTTTACCATGCAACGCACCTACCGTGCATTCTGATGTGGGAGGTACATTGCCATTCATTTGAATGGTACCCCAAACGCACCTCCCACTTACTGTTCAATTGCCTGCAGAACGCACGGTACCGCAATGCCATGCATTCCATTACTGTGTGACTTAATGGCGGAGGTCAAATGTGGGTCCTGAGGTTACACAGGTTGAGAACCAAGGCTCTACAAGAGGTATATTCACCCGTTTGTGCTCCTTTGCAGCCTCCTCGCTGCAGGAGTCCACTGGAAGAACTGTAGTCCCGCCCGCCCCCAGTGACCGTGTTGAATTCTGCCAAAATGGAGAGCAGCAGTGACCGGTCTTTATTACAGGAGACAAGACCAGTCACCCTACACAAGGCGAGAGAGCAGCAGTGAGCGGACTTTATTAGTTTTGGATATACTTTAGTGTATTGCCATACAACGTGGGCCGAAAGGAAGATGCTGGTGCATGGAGATGCATATGGGATTGGGCTCACCTGTACCCCCAAGGAGGGGGGAGGGGGCTACGTTGGTTTAGGTTCCAGGACAATACTAAGAAGCTTATGCCCCCCTCATACACAAGTGAGGGGTCTCATTATTTAGGGTATGGGTGAAGGGTAATCACACTGACAATATGGGACAGCAATGTTTACAGAGCACAGAGGGTTCCCCATTATAGCAGCTCCGTCCCTGGAACTGAATGCACGTTACTGCCAGTCACACACGGAGCCCACCAATGGGAGAAGAGCCGACAACAGCACCCGATAAGACACACAAGGAATCCATGAGGCACCACGTGACCCCGGAATAAAACCCAAGTCCCCCCCTTTTCCAGCACGGGCTCGCCGTTCACCTCACCTGGGGTTCCGGCTGCCGCTCTTCTGTCAGTCTCCTTCTACCCCCCGCCGAGCTCACTGACCCAGCGTCTTCCCCACCGGACCCGCCCCCTAGTTTGCCTCATTCGCTGGCAGCGGCCGTGACGTTCTGCTGCAGACCGAAGAACCGCCCGCCTTCCACGCCGCAACCAAACAAGAATAACCAAAAAAAATTGCCTGATGACCGGCTTCGGTAATTGGACCAGCGCGAAAAGTCCCTGAAGTCTTAAGCCAATAAAAAAAAAAGGACGTCGACGCCGTGCAGCCTGTATCGTTTGCGGAGCCAATGAGACGGCACTGCACGGGAAGAGGCGGCATCAAAGGGCGCCAAGGCTACTATATCAGCCAATGAGAAGACAGGCTTCGAATAAAATGTAAATGAGTTCACTGTGCCGACCAATGAAAAAAGACCGCCGCGGGACGAATGACAGCTTAGCCAGCCAATGACAATAAGAGACGTCAGATCAGAAAGAAGAAACACGTAATGCCTCCAGACTTCTGCAAGAAGAAGGCGCCTAATGGGCGCAACTAGTTATAATGGGGCGCAGGATCGGCGCTAAAGAGCGGGAAGGACCGAGAGAAGGATGGGATGATAAGAAGGGTAGAATGGAGGACGAGGGGCTCATTTTATATGTAAAGCCAGACAGGCTGTGGTGAGGTGGGCTCAAAGCATCCAGAAACTCCTCCATTACTGAGCGTGAAGCACCGTGCATACTTCTTAAAGTTGAACTGACATCCGCTATACTCCCCTCCAGTAATGTGACGTCCATAAGCATCCTTACCCCCTCCCGTGCGGCAAGACCTACATCTAAAACAGGAGTGGGGAACCTGGTAACTCCAGCTGTTGTGGAACTACAAGTCCCATGAGGCATTGCAAGGCTGACAGCCACAGGCATGACTTCCAGAGTCCCATGCATGGTGGGATTTGTAGTTTCAGCACTGATGGAGTGCAGAGAGAGGTTACCTGAGCTTGATCTAGAAGAGGCAGAGCAGCTTTTATTGCAGAAGAGACATGTAATTTATGATGCAATAAAAGCCTTCCTACCAGCACTGTTTTAAGACTTTAGTGTTACTTAAAGAGTCTTTTTACACCATAGCATTGTGCTAAATGCACAGAGGGGAATTTATCAAAACTGGAGCAGTTGCCTATGGCGACCAATCAGCTTCTCTCTTTAGTTCAGTTTTGAAAATGAAAGAAGCTGATTGGTTGCCATGGACAACTGCTCCAGTTTTGATAAAACTCCCCTCAATGTGTTTAGTGCACCTCTATGGTGTAAATGGGCTTGTGCACAGCAGATGCATTTTGTGGTGCTTTTTTAACATACTCTGAAAGCATGCACAGTAAAATCAATGGTTTCTAATCACGTTCAGTTCCAGGACTTTAAAAGAAAAAGTGCAGCAGCATGACTGAACCCAGCAGTACACAATGTACAAGCCCCTTGTTAGAACTCTTCAACATACTTGCACACAGTGATCCCCTGAAGCGTGTTGTCGCCTCATTCCATCACCTGTACACAGCGGAGTACCCAGTAAAGTGACAGAAGTCACTGGGGAAGTTCTCACTTTTACAGACACGTCACATACATTCTATATGTCTGGAAGGAGATGACGTCCTTTCTACAACCATGCTGCCCTACTGGTATTGTGTTCTGTTCCCTGGAGTGTATGATTAATATCCGCTCCTCTTTGCAGCAGCGCTTCCCACCGAGATCAATTAACACTTTTGTATGCAGCGTCTAAGTGTTGTGAGCAGCTTTGGAACTCACAATATGGATCCTTAGAGACATCCTAAATGTCAACATAAACCCAAAGTGGCACAAATACCCTTCCAATCTACAATGTTCATATGTAAAGTCAGCCAGTGACGTGTCATAAACTGGAACACATTCGTGTCATTTCTAAAGTCATTTCCATGGTTTTAATAAAATAATGATCCTGCCATGAAGGTCCTTGTTCAGGGATTTCCTTTTATAGGGTGATGACACAACCTCCAAACTGTCCCTATTTTCTCCTCAGTTGTCCCCTTTTCCGGTCTGATGTACAGATATCTATGAAAAGATTCTATTTAATAGGGATGCACTGATACCAGTTTTTCGGTTATGAATACTGATATTTATATTTCGGTACTCGGCGATACGGGTACTTCCGCTAGCATGGAGCCGGCTTCCCGGGCAATCAGGAAGCTGGGCGGTGTGTCATTACCCAGGAAGCCGGTTCCCTGCTGGTTGGCCAGCTCGATGCTAATTGGCAAGGAAGCTGGCTTCCCAGCCAATCAGCATGGAGACGGCTTCCCGGCCAATCAGGGAGGCAGGTCATTACCTGCCCGTGGCTTCCTGATTGACAGGCTCCATGCTGTTTGGCCAGATCGATGCGGATTGGCCGGGTAGCCGGCTTCCCAGCCAATCAGCATGGAGACGGCTTCGCCAATCAGGGAGGCAGGTCATAACCTGCCCCTGTCTTCCTGATTGGTTTGGAAGCCGGCTCCATGCTGTTTGGCCGGATCGATGCAGATTGGCTGGGAAGCCAACTTCCCAGCCAATCAGCATCGAGCCGGCTGTTTTGGTACATCAATGCTATTTAACTATCAAAAGTGTTATTCTGCACTAAAACCTTCATCTTATCTCTTAATGATCTTTTCTGTTATTTAGAAAAGCCGGCATAAAGGAAAAGTAATGGTGAAAAAACACTAGTTCTGGGCTTAACCAATCAGTTTTGGCGTATAAATTCTTAAAGAGTATCTATGGTCAGTTCTATATTTTTATATTACATTTCTATCCCTCTCCTAATAACCAGATCCATCTAGAAGTTTCTAAACGTACTTATTGAAGATGCCCATAGCATGTACTTCCTCAATGCACTGACACCATTTCACTCAGCCCTGTGAATATGCACTTACTTGTGTCACCTCTCTCACAGAGCATTCTGTCTGAACAATATAACATCATCATTGCTTGTTCAAAGCAATGCATGATGGGATATGTAGTCTTGAGAAATGGAGATTGGCTCACATCAAGCAGCAGGGAAAGAGATGCAAAGCACACTGGGGATCCAGGAAGTTGTTGGAAGTGACGGGCAGACGGAAGGCGGCGCTCACTACATCAAAGGGATTTTATCAAGTAAGCTTTGATTGTATGATTACCAACAACTCTACTATGTATTCCTATTACAGTGCTGATGTTATAACAGGAGAGGATGTGCTCGGACTTTACAACTCCTTTAATGGTACACATTACTGGGGATTTGTCTATTGCCTAAATACAATTGTGTCCCTCTTTTTCATCTCAGAAAGTTGGGAGGTATTCCCGTTTCCCAATTTACCCCCAACTTTCTCACCCTATTATATGGGCTTCGCATAGAGACAATTGGCTGTTTCAACACACAATACCCATTCCGGGTCCAGTGTTCTCGCCCTCAGCAAACTCTCCCTGAGAAGAAGCCATGCAGCCTTGGGTGGGGTGCATGTGGATAGGAAGTGCCGGCAGTACATCAGCAGCAGAGATTCTTATGAACTTGTTGCAGCATTTTTATTTTGTTCAAGACTTAAAGTGACATTAAACCCTCAGATTTTTTTAAACATAAACCAATACTGTAATGTGCGCCTTACTGTAATCCATGGTTGTTTCCCTTCTCTTTGCTGCTCTTCCTTTTAAATCCTCATGTCTTCTCATGCTTGGGGAGAACTTCCCTTTGCAGCTGACTGCCTCTTCCTGTAGTGCTGGCTCAGGTTGTGAACCTATACACAGACACCACGTAGCCATTCCAGAGACAAGGAGTCTGCTGCAAAACAGAAGTTCTGCCCAGCATGAGAAGACATGAGGATTTAAAAGGAAGAGCAGCAAAGAGAAGGGAAACAACCATGGATTACAGTAAGGCGCACATTACAGTATTGGTTTATGTTAAAAAATCTGAGGGTTTAATGTCACTTTAAAAAAATGAGTAGTGTCCCGGCTTTAACAAAAGAGGGTTCATGTAGACTAAAATCGCCTCTGACGTGCACAGCTTATCACACCCCATGTGCACCTGATGTCCCCAGCAGCCTGTGCAGCGTGTGGAAGACATTTCCTTTACCATAGATGGCTGTCCCGTGTTTTGCTGAGGCTACTGATAATACCAGGAGATGAACAGCAGCCGTCCCTTGAAGTTCATTGCCCTCGTGAACAGGAACCGTAACAGGCCGTTTACTGCCTCTTGAACATGTTATGTCTTTTCCCACAATTAATAGCAGTAGAGTGTTTTACTGGCCAAGGTTAAACATTCAAGCTTGTTCCCAACATGTCAAGTTCTTTCTCAATGTCACGTCACTGCTCCTAGCACTAAGTCAAGTCATAGTCCTCTGTTTGATGAAGATTGCATTTCCCCTACATTGTTGATGACTGAACGATTCTCATATATCATATTGTTTAATATTCATCTGATAGCCAATCCATAATCTATACTCAGCACATCCATACGTCTGATCTTCACATGTAAGCGGTCTGTATTTGTCACACCATCAATGCTACGTTTACATGAATACAACCTGCAGCTGTTCTGTGTAAGCACTACAATAAAGCTTTGTGTCCTCGAAGCTTATTTACTCCTTTTGCACAATGTGTGTACATAGGAGGACAAAGCACTATACTAATACAAAAGCATTTGTCTAAAAAGAAAAACAAACACAAACTCAAAGCCAGCCTCTCAGACGTAAACAAAGATAAACCTGAAAAATGGGCAGATTTTCTCCCTTTTGTTAGATCTGTTTACCAAGTGCAAAAAATACCTGGCGATGATCAGAAATTCAGCGTTGTCCCGTGCTCCCTCTCTGTATTATGTAACGCAGAGTAACTTTCCGTCAGAGTCCTTATCTTTGGGCTACAGTACGATTGGTCTCTACATTGTGGAGATGGGAGAGTAGTAGGGTCTGAGTAGTTTGGCAAGAGAAAAGTGGGCAGGGCTGACACTAGGGCTGCAACTAATTGATTTTCATAATCGATTAAGTTGGCCGATAATTTTTTTGATTCATCAGATGAAAAAAACAAAAAACATTTATAATTAAATAATTACAATCCTTAATGTAAAATAAGATACACAAATGCAGCGTAACAGTTTCCTTCAGAATAGAACTGCATGCACACTTTTTTTGCAATGGCACTGCACTGGAACGCACGGCATCACAGTATCATACATTCTAGTGCGGGCGATCACACTGTGGGTGGGAGGCGCATTTTGGGTGCCATTGAAATGAATGGCACTGCAACCCGCCTCCCACACCAGAATCTGTCAGCCCGAAACGGAAAATTACTTTTTTTCCCCCCACCTTTTATAATAACTGTATTGAAAGCACATGGCGCTTGAATAGCTGCAGCGAGGAAATGACTGCCGTCAGGGGCAAGATTCTGCAGACGGTAGCTGAATATAAATACAGCAGATAGCGGGCTGGTGGAATAGCCAGCCTGCTATTGGCCATTTCAAATTGCAATAGCAGGCTGGCGATTGCACCCGCCCACTGCTTGCTGTGCCCTCCTCCCAGCATAGAGCAGAGAGCTAGGGGATCCAACCAACTAATCGATAATGACAACCATTCTCCCAATCGATTAGTTGGTTGCAGCCCTAGCCAACACCACTCAGTCCACAAAAATGCTGTGTGTTGTCAGCCCGCAACAAGACTCAGGAACTGAATGCATTTCAGGCAGATCAGCAGGTATTTTCCCATACTTGCAGGGTCTGTAAAACATGGGACTGCATGTGTATTTTCGGTTATTTCACTATGACATACCCTTTAACAACAAAAAACAGCATTCAACTGCAGAAGGCACCAGCCTAACGGGAGTGAAAAATCTATTTTGGCTTTAAACCTTTTTTTTTGTTTTGTTATTATACAATGGATAAGTTACAGGAGCAAATGTGATATTTTGCTACCAAGATATTTAAAGCAAATCTGTTGCTGCGTTTAAGAAAAAAAAAAATCCCTGCATAGCAAGCAATTCATACTTGGCTGTCTTGCTGATAAACTTAAGATTTAAGTTGGCTAAAAGATCTGCAGCATGTCATCACTCTTCCAGATGTTAGATGCCTGGTCCCCTCTACAAGCCCCCATGTCATTTCTGTGTCCTGCAGGGGCTGGCGGAGGGAACCACAGAGGGCAGAGGGTGATACCGGCATCCGACACTGCCAGAAGTGTTCAATGGTAAAGATTCTTCAGCAAGCTTAGATCTTTAAAGCAGCAGATGCAATGACATGGGCAGTGGCATGGTGGTAGAGCAACATATACATTTATACCGGGGGCCCTATTACAATTAGGCATTGCATTACAGCATGCTGCATTACGGCAGCTCATTTGTTTTGTTTTTGCTATCCACGTGCCTTAACAGATGGAATAGATCTGACTTAAGAGAGTTAGAGCTAAACTTTTTTGGGGGCTTTAGTTCTATTTTAGGTCCAAAGTTAAAGCCACACTGCAGGCGGGAAAGATCCCGAAAATATTGCTGGGATCTATCCTGCTGCCTGATTGACAGCTGGCTCTGCCACTCTAGAGCCAGAGCAAGCTGTGCCGCCCCCCCAATAAG